ACAAAGCTCCTCTAGTCAAACCGCGTCGGTCATGGAGTGTCTTAAAGTAAGTGGGGTCTAAAATATTAGTCAACAATTGTTTGTTCTCGCTTTAAACTTAATTTAATCAAAACTTGACCAGCACACAAAAACAGGGCAGAGAGTGCATGAGCACCTGAGGTTACCCAGAATCACCATTGTCAGAAAAAAAAAAAAAAAAAAAAAGTGGTAAAATGCCAGTGATCCCAGAGGGATTACAGACAGATGTACAAGTCGTCTAAACACAAAAACCTGATTAAGTGTTGTGTGTGGGATATCAGTATGGAAGCATGGCTACGGTACACATCGTAAATGAGTGCAAACACGGCAGCGGGTTTCATGTTAGTCACTGTAATAAGGCTGCATCTATGGCAAACATCGTTATACATTTTATATCTAATCTCCGACTTCTCATTAGCTTCAAGCATTTTCATCATCACTTAACAAAGCAGTTATCCAAAGTGGGAATGTTAACGATTTCAACAAGAAAGAAATTATGTAACCGAACCCTGTACAGAAGAGAAGTTTAAAAATCTCTGTCTAAGCAGCTATCACATGTCAAAACAGCAATCTGCTGTCTTAGCTCATTTTAGAGTTTTTCTACTGACCTCAGCACTGAGGTTCATGAAACCATAAAGTGAATGAGCAGGGCCACCTTGTGGGCACAGAAGGACTGAACTGCAATGCTGACACGCCGAATGAACAGAGATAAGACTGTGGGATTGTCAGAGTTGCCATGAAGCAGTAGCACAACCATGGTTAATACTACTTCGAATTTTAAGAGTGGAGACCAGACAGTCAAGATCTGATTCAATCAAAATAACATTAAATGGTTTGAAGACATTTTAACGACACATCACCAATACACGACGTCACACTTATGTCTCCGGCTGGTACTGAAAAACTGCACAGATGTTTACCTTTTCAATGGTTAAAAATAATTCATGTTACTTTTCCCCCCTGACCAAACCCCATCACTCCTTCAGCCCCCATCAGTCACAATCCGCAGAGGTCGCATTTCAGACTGGCCATCCTTTCTTGCTCTCTTCTCGGTGTCCCATCTTGGATTTGACGGCCCCTGAACTGTCTTGGTTGAGAGCTGGTGGCAGGTGGATGATGGGAGTTGTAGGAAAAGCAGAAAGGCAGAGATAGAGAGGCATGTCCAAGAAGGACGAGGCAGCGACATCACATGATTTCACAGCAAGAGTTCTGTTTCCGTGCCTGAAGGTTAAACACAAACAAATATGCAAATAATTTGCCCTGCTTAGTAAATTCAGCGCACAGTCTTGAAATTTAGCATAATGTCAATAAGGTGAGTCATTCAAACTTACAGTCTTGTAGAAGGCTTTAGACTGGTTTCCCAGATGCTCCGACTTTGCCACAAGATCATCCAGTTTCTCTCCTCTTTCCAGCAGACTTTCCATGGTGTTGTGCTGCAGACAACAAAATATTTATTTATGAAACAACAGAAACACTACAACTTGGCTTTAGTTAAATAGATTGCCCAATATGGTTAAAAAAAAATTGCAGTTAATAAGAGAAAGTTGCCTTTCAATCCATTACATTTTGTCAGATGACAGGATAACATAAAGTCCAAATGCAAACCTTTCCAATCCTTGCCAATCTGGACCCTATGCTATGAAGCGAGTTCAACATACCCAGGGTATGTCTAACTCCAGAGAAGTTAATAAATGTCTAAAGAACATAAAAATGTGAATGTAAAAGGAACAAAAAAAATGCGTTTTTGTGCTTCATTCCTAAGTTTTAGTAAGGTATAAGTTGTGATGGCTTTTCCATCTGCATTCCAGAGGGATAAGGAATAACTATGAACACATCTGATTTCTGAAGTAATTGAAAGCATGTATTAAAAAGTTTTTTTAAGAGTCCATCATCTCTTTCTGTGTTCTCATGCAATGCAAAATTTGAGTATAAATTAATGTGGACACTTTTCTACTTTGATTTATGTATGAACGGTGGTTTACCAAAATGATCTTTGTCTCATCCAGCTCTGCCTGCACTTTGGTCATTGCATCAGCTTCCCTGGGGTTCTGTGGATAAATACAAAAATACAACCAGCTATCAAGTAGATGCATTTCGCACTATACAACTAAATTCTGCCAAATGATGTGAGAATCTGGTGATTATGGAGTCCTTCTGATATCGTTTTAAAATCACACAAACAGTCTAGTTGCAGTCATACACTATCAGATCTTTCGTTAAAATAAATTCTGAGAAGTAAACCAAACTGACCTGGTATTTAGAGAGGTGAATGTCAAGGGCTTTGTAGTTAATGGTGTCAGGATTACCAGAAGGCCAGTCTATACTGTCCACTTGCCTAGAGAACTCCTCTAATACCTAAAAAACAAAACAAAACAATGTCAATATTGAAATCACAACAACAAGTCTCATAATATATATATTTTTTAAAAAAAATATATAAACCACCTTGTCAAGCAATGTGAAACAGACTCTCTGTGGATATTCAGTATCTGCGATGACTACAGCACCCAAATTGTCATTTCTCACATACACATGGCACAGGTACTCTGAAAAGAAAAAAACAAAACAAAGGAGCAAGGTGTGTTGTTATCAGAACAATTTTCACCCGATCTTATTGTACAGGAAAACTACTGTGTTTACTGGTGCATTGAAGAAGGGCCAAAGAATAAAAAACCTTATTAAAATACAACTTAGCAAAATGTTCTCCATAAGACTCCCAAAATAAAAACAAACAACACACACTGATTATGAAGCATAATTCTGTAATGACATTTGTTAAAGTCCATGTCACATGATATGATGATTCAGCCTGCATGAAATTGAAGAGAGGAAAAGCAGTCTGTGTACTCCAGGAACAAGGAAATGTTTAGCATCATTGTTTTGAGACAGCTTACATTTTACTTTATTATCTCCAACTGTTTAAACTTGACTTAAAAGGTCCATTTTCAGGCCAGAGAACATGTTACAGCCCCATCACAATTTCCCTGTCAAACATCAAATCACTTTTAAGCAGAAATCTCCTTCTGCCCTGCTGTGACACAGGACACTGCAGGAAGTCATTTCTTTATGATATTACAAATAACAACTGTTATATATCAAATTATTTTTCTCGTCCTTTGAGATCTGTGATAGTCTTTAGTTTTCCATGTAAGCGGCTAATGTGCAACCTCTTATACCAATACCACTGTAAGAGGATACTTGGCAAAAGGTTACCCTGAATCTGTAGGGTCCTCTCTGATGCAACAGCACTAATCACTGCATCACAGGGCCACACCTAAAACACTAAATCTGTTTACCTTGTTCTTTGACAGAGGCACGGGTTCCTTGAGATGTTCGTTCAACAATCAAGGCACTGGTGAAGGTCATGAACTCCTGAATGCTAAACAAACCAAAGCAATACTTAGTGTAGAGAAGGAAACACTTAAAAATAGTGAAATAAATACTACCCGTGATGTGTGAGGCACGGGTCAGTAAACTACAGTAAAAACTGTTTCGTTTCGTTAGTGAGACGCACCTGGAGCGCTGAAAGAAACTGAAGGAGGACAGGTCGTAGGCCGCTTTGAGAAGATTGGATTTGGTCGCTCCTTTGTAGAGGATGCTGAGACTGTAGAGCTTCATATTGCCACCGGTTCGTGTGTCAGTTACACAGTCCTGATAACACAAAAACAATCACATGAGAGCATTATCCTTTATCCGGCTCAGCTAACTAGCTTCCCTGCTAACAAAAAAGGGAAACTTCAACGATGTGAAGCTCGCAGCAAAAGCAGTCGCCGCCTAGATAAAAGCTTGTAGGCTAACTGTTTACTCTCAGCCATAGTCATCTTAGATTAACAATTTTCCCTCCTTACAGATGGGATTAACAGGCTGACTGACGGCGAAAAGCAAAGACTGCAAAGAAGTTGATTCAAGTTTTAAACTTATCAAGAAAATTACAAAATTTAATCAGATTAGCTCTAGGTGCTATCTACTCTAAGGCAGGCCTCGGCTAACTTACCAGCTAAAACTATCGCAAACCGTCTGATTCCAGTAAAAGCAGACAGAAAAAGTCAAATTCCGTATTAAAATAAAACTCGTGGGTATGCACGAAACACGTCCACCAAACTAGTCACAGTATAGTTAGCGCTAACTTAACAGTTTTTAACATGAACTTAAAGTGACCAATCACCACGTCACGGTCCCCAAACGGTGCAATCTGACATTCACTCCGCTGTAAACACGCACACCGCTGTGCTAATAGTTCCGGTTGGTTGCCAGATTCAAAGCGATATTATATCTACCTAATATAAACGTATTTACACGGAGGGAAATCTTAGACACACGGATGGATAACAGTCAGTCTTAAACGGATCATATTTATTTTTCATCTAAGGTACTATGTACATTATTGGATGCAGCAAATCTCATTTTTATCGGTTTAGATTAGCAGGATTATGAAATTGTAATAACTGGTTTAAATGGTGATATGTTTCAACATTTCAACCATATTTATTGATATTTAATGTGCTTTTATACTAATTGTAGAATTATTATTATTATTATTATTATTATTATTATTATTATTATTATTATTATTATTATTATTATGTCCTTAATCTGTAAAAACAACAACAACAAAAAAAAAAACAAAAAAACAAAAAAACAACAACCCTAAAAACCCCAAAACTATTTTAACATTCAGCTGTTTTATGGCAACCTCAATTCATGTTTTTTCTGGTAATCTTGCTCCATTTAGCAATTTCCTCCTGGGCATTTAACTCAGTGTAAGTAAGTGTTTTCCATGTCAGATGTGAGCCTGTTATTCATTTCCTTGGTGATACATTGAAATCCTATTGGCATGGAAACCAGTAAGTATTTAGGTGAATCTGATGATCGTCAGCTGCACTGAAGGGAGAAATGAGGTTTCTTTTCCTGGAACTAATTTTGTTTGAGTTGAGATACTGTCAGTGAGAAGTTTGCCTACAAACTGGAGGTTGCTTTCATATTTTTCTCCATTTTTGCTTAAAGATGTAAGGATTTATCAATGCGACAAAGGTTTGGTTGGATAATTTATTGTCTTGTTGTTCTTGTTTAACTGACTCTTGGATGGCATACTCATTGCGTGGATATTAACTGGAAGCGCTAACAAGAATGAAGACGTCCATAGGTTTTTGCCTAGAAACAAATGTTTGAATATTTAAAATATGTAGCATTTATGTGTGTAATAAGTAAATACATACGTAGATAGCAAAAATTAATGCTACATTTTTTCCCATACATATTCTTTAGAATGTAATTTAGGCTATTTATCAATGAAGGTTTGAGTTTACTGTGTGTAAGAGTTAAGACAAATTCTTTTTGTTTTTATACTTTTCGCCAAAAGTATCTGCGAGAATGAAGAAATTTCCAAAAGTTATTTAAGATATTTAGGACGCCTGCAGATTTTATTTTTCTGTTTACAACTTTGAAAGTAGAAAAACTGCAGATATGTAAATGTGGTTTCAAGCTGCTGCTGAGCATTATGTAGACCAAATGCTGGGGACATAATAATGGTTGGGCCTTTCATGCACCTATGCCGAGGCAAAACACCATAGGAGCAACAACTTAGGAATCATCAAAACTCCTAAAGGGAGGGAACCTCCACCTCCAACACTAATGGTCAGCAGGACACTTGGGATTTAATCATCATTGTCATACGATGGAAAAGGTAAAGAAGTAGTTCTTTGTTTGTTTTTAAATCTAGCTATCTGCAAAATTTTAATGTGATCAAATAAATTTCTGAACAGATGCATTCCAGATAGATTAATATATGCATAATCATGACAGTAAACTAAAGAGGTACACAGGAAAAGTCACAAATTGTGTTTGCCATATTACATGATGCACTGACTTTTAGAAGAAGGGTATAGCTACAGTATAGTTCTCAATTCAATGATATTGATATCAATGATATGATATTAAACTATAAATGGACTATTAATGGCAAAAGGTAAATAAATGCATGACTATCTTCTAAGTATCTGTTGTATCATGGCTACAGTTGGATACAGAAAACGGGATAAGACGGAGCTAAAATATTTCCATTTCCTTGCACTAATTTTTTGATGAACATGGTTAAACAAATGAATTGTCCTTGATGTACAGTTTGTAGTAATACACTATAACGCTACAGATCTTTGTGTTTCTTTTCGTGTAATCGAACAACACAGTTGCTTCAGTCGCTGAAGTTTACTTTGCGAGAGACAGCTGGAGATCCATTCAGGCAGGCTTCTGTGCAAACAGGCCACATGTTAAATTAACTGGATAATCATCTATTGACAAGCACTTGGCACACATTCAATTTCTCCCTGTAAATGGACACAAACTAAACAAACTGTGTGCGTGTTACAACATGCTTCTAACAATTTCATTGCCCAGCATTATAACCCGCCCCCCCCCCCCCCCCCCTTTAAAATATCATATTGTTTTATTATTAGAATCAGTCAAACACATACCAGCTGGTGAAAATCAAGTAAAAATCAGACACATCACAAACACATTAGTGCTTCCTCAGTGGCTTTGGCTCAGTTGAATGACACTTGAAGGCAGCAGAAAGAAGACGCACTAAATTTTTCTTCACAGTTAAAAGTATTACAGTGCAGCAACTTCTTGTGAAGGAGAGGTTGGTGAGAATCTGCGGCCAAGCCAGCTGGAATCCAGTGAGTTCCAGCACAGATTTGTTACTGTAAACATAGTTATGATTTTTAGGTATTAATAGCAATATTTGTGTAACATTTTTAGCTTTTGTTGTAACTGCATTTAGTGTAGTGTGTGACCACTGCAGTAAAATAAATTAGTTTTCCTTCATCCCACAAAGTTTTGTTTTTCTGGACGTAGTGTTTTCAGTGGGAGAAACATTTAATCACATATCCAAGTGACTATTTAAGTCTAAACTGACTGCAGCTTTTTCCAACCATTGTTTATCAGTGGTGCTAGTTTCATTATGCAAATGTACTGTTTATATTGCTGGGAAACCTGCATTCAGCTGAGACTGAAGAAGTCACTTGGATGAGTGACGAAACGTCTCTCCCACTGAAAACGTTACGTCCAGATGAACAGAATCAACTTTCTGGGATTTCCTTACCTGGATGATCGAGCATACATCAAGACATGTTTTCCCTCATGTTACATACAGATGAATGCAAATGTCATCTTGCTTTCAGCATCAGAAGACCATCCACTTTGATTTAAAAAAAGAAGAAGTTATTCTTTGGTAAAGAAGTCTGTTAGAGGTTATATCTGGCATCAGGGAAGACGTAACAAGACAAGACTTGACAAGATTTTCAAGAAATGTGTCAGATGTAAGAGACCAAAGTTTAAAAACATATCAGATATCCCACCTGATAGAAACAAGTTGTAATTTTATTTTATTATTTTTATTTTATTCATTTTTAAGCATTGTATAGTTATACCAAAGCAACAAATACATATAACATGCACAGTTAATGACTATTCAAACTTGAAAGTAAGTCATTCGCATTCTTTGGGTTTACTTATCTCACAGTACTGATGCTGATCCTTCAAAAATCAAGGCCATTACTAAAAAAAACCCTGAACTCAGGTCCAGCAAACTATTAGAGAAAAAGGTCAGAGCTAAAAAAAGCTCTTACCTCTGGACAGGTAAACTGTTGGAGCTGATAAGCAGAGGAGACCTTCACCTCTGGCGTGCTATTTTAAGTTTTGGAGGTCATTCAACCCTTTTTATTTCTAATTTCGGCATGTTTGCAGTTTTGCAAACATAAGAGTATCTTTCAGGTCTAACATTGAGCAACCCCATAGCTGTGCACGGTGTTCTTCTAAAAGAAAAATCAATTATGAGTTTGGGCCACAGGGTTAGTTGACATGTCATGTTAAAAAAAATGCATTCTAAAGTAGATTGAGGCTAAAAGTAATTCCGTATATAAAAGTAACAGATAACCTTGAAAACTTAAAACTTAACATTAATGGATAGTGAGTTCCTCAACTTAACAAATCACATAATATTACTGGGAGATCACGTTTATTGTGATGTTATTATGATCTAATTTAACAAGAATGCGTTTTTTGAGAGTTTTCAGGCTTTTTTGTGAAGTCTGAAAACCACGGCAGTAAAGGCGAACAACATTAAAACATATTCAGTGCTCAAAATCAGAATCACAGAATCAGAATTAGATTAAAATTATGTGGTAGCCCTAATGTTTATTAAATAAAATTTTTTTTTATTGTGATTATGTATTTAAATAACCGATTAATAAAATATGAATGTATACTGAGCCAGGATAGAGCCTCTGTAGAAATAGAGTAAAGGCAAAATGTCATATCTGACTATTTCTATCAGCGTAGTCATTATAATAAACTCTAACTAAACTTTAGCTAAACTAAAACACAGCAGTCAAAAGTAAAATTAAAACTAGACTAGACTTAGAAATAAAAATTAACAAAAGATTTTGTACTATTAAAGCAATTACTACTGCTTACGAAGCCATTTAAATAAATGCAGACGTCTATGTGATTGCCTGCTGGCGTTGTTGTATTGCATCATCTTGCTTTTAAATATAAAAGTCTGCAAAATATCACCAATAGCAATACAACAAAATCAACAAGTAAACACTAAAACAAGCCGAACCACTAAACTAAACTGAATTTAAAGCAAAAGCAAAAACAAAACAAAACAAAACAAAACAAAACAAAACAAAACCCAAAACCTTCTAACTAAATAAAAAATATAACACAATAGAAAATATAACACTAAAAATCTTATGCCAATAAAAAAAACAAGTTAAAATTTGTCTTCTTGCAATAAAATGAACACGTCATGAAATATATCTTGAGGAACAAGGTCAAACCATTTTATAACTTTGCCCAGAGGTTATACCTCTTTGTGTGCATGTGGGCGTTTGTGTATGTTTGCACTTCTTTGGCCAGATGGGGTGAGGTTGGGAAGGGGAGGGCGATAGGATTTGGTGTGTCCAGCCCCCTTCACCTGAGAATAAAAGCAGCAGAGGATTGTTCAGTGGTACTCACACTTCACTCACTCTGCACACACACACTGGGTGGTCTCACACTCACCAAACTCCTAAAAACACACGCAAGCGAATTTTTGGTTAAGCCTGTGAAGATGCCTTGTGTCAGCGTTCAACTCGACCAGATGGTGAAGTTGCCTAATAGCTACGACTCTGTGGTTGATAAAGTCATCGCGGTAAGATTTGTAGTCAGCAAATTTCCAGTGCTGTGATTCTTTTGTTCCTGTTAAAGTTTCTGTCCGGTGTTTATAATATGGTGTCAAATGGTTCTCACCTACTTCATCTCTCCTCTGAATGCAGGTGGACCAGATCCTGTCCGAGTTCAGGCTGAATAAAGAAGACCTGAAAGAGATCATGAAGAGGATGCAGCGTGAAATGGAGAGAGGATTGCGTTTGGAGACACATGAAGAGGCTAGCGTTAAAATGCTTCCAACTTATGTCTGCTCCACCCCTGAAGGATCAGGTGGGTCATGACTTCTGAAAGAGAGGATTGCCAGTGTTTAGATGAAGTCTTTCCTATGTGAACTTAAGTTTAATGTAGCACTGAAAGACTAATGTATGGTGTTTTCTCCCAATAGAGGTTGGTGATTTCTTGGCTCTGGACCTGGGAGGCACAAACTTCCGTGTGATGCTTGTGAAAGTGGGTGAAGACGAAGAGAGGAGCTTCAAGGTTGAAACAAAGAACCAAATGTACTCCATTCCTGAAGATGCCATGACAGGAACTGCTGAAATGGTTAGTAATACTCCGATTTATCTATAGAAGCAAGCATTTCTTTTTTTACTCTTGTGAAATAACTTTTTAATATCTCTGCAGCTATTCGACTACATAGCAGAGTGTATGTCAGATTTCTTGGACAAACACCACATCAAGCACAAGAAGCTTCCTCTGGGTTTCACGTTCTCCTTTCCAGTACGACATGAGGACATTGACAAGGTGGGTGAATTTACTCTTATACCCTTCTACCTCTAACAATTCCTTTATTTGCTGGACTTGTAGAAGCTTTTTATCTACAGTTCTTTATTTATTAGACCACCTGTCATAAAAACAAGAAAACAAACATTTTATACAAACATTTTACAAATCTTTCAAAATGTCTTTAGAACTAAAAATTAATGAAGAGCAGAGATGATTTCACTTTTTATACCCAAATGGGAGCCAACAAACAGTATAACAGTCAACTTTTTCTGTTCAGGAATGCAAGTAAATAACCAAAAAAACCAGGATAGACAGGAGGTGGCAGAGTTTAAGATGTAAAGACGCGATTAGAAATGAGTATGCTAGAGGGACAGCTCAGGTTGAGTGGTGTGGAGACTAAAACACAAAGGGATAGTGAATATTCTGGACAAAGGAAAGAGGAAGATTAGTAATGTTAATTTAAGGTAGGTGATGGTATAATAAATAAACCACTGTATAATAAAGGTCATGCATTTAAAGTTTACTTTTTCTCTCTTTTTTTTTTTTTTTACCATCACAGGGAATCCTGCTTAACTGGACCAAAGGCTTCAAGGCCTCCGGTGCAGAAGGGAACAATGTTGTGGGTTTACTCAGAGACGCCATCAAGAGACGAGGGGTGGGTGGACGTATAGGATTCTTTCTTCTTAAAAGTACAGCTGTAGATATAGTGGTTGAATTTAATTCTGTGAATTAAAAATTTGTATCGTCACACAGGACTTTGAGATGGATGTGGTTGCCATGGTGAATGACACAGTTGCCACGATGATTTCCTGCTATTATGAAGATCGCAGCTGTGAAGTCGGGATGATTGTTGGTAAGAAGTTGTAAATGCACACGTGCAACCAGCCTGAAGTCTGACTCATATCTAGACTCTTGCAGAAATGAGCATCCATATAATGTTTGTGGGTCTGTTTTCTTACCAGGTACTGGTTGCAATGCATGTTACATGGAGGAAATGAGGACTGTGGAGCTGGTTGAAGGGGAGGAGGGCCGGATGTGTGTGAACACAGAATGGGGGGCTTTCGGAGACAACGGGGAGCTAGAGGACTTTAGACTGGAGTACGACAGAGTGGTGGACGAAGCCTCAATTAACCCCGGACAGCAGCTGTGAGTAAACGCAGAACATTATATTTAGTTCAAACATATAGCATAAACGTCACACAGCTCTTTCATTTTCAAACGTCTACTGAATACACGTGCAGTCAGGGCTGCCACCTGTTTGAAGGGCTTAAAGTGGTGGGCGTGGAGTGTAAATTAAGTCATTTACAACATGTTACATGTTTTTTCTGAACTCATTATCATTGTCTGGTAGTACTCACCTGACCCTCACCTGAGCTTTCTGTGCAGTTGCTTAGTTACCCACTATTTTTCCTCAGGATGGTAGTAAATGGCCAGAGCCCTCATACGTCAGTGATGAGTTCAATGAAGCGGACGTCGGGTTAATCATCTATCTCTGCTGCTGCTTGCCAGTAACTGTTAGCCTAATGGCTGTTTACCTTTTATGCAGAGATTTTGCAGAGAGCTCAACCTCATTCAGCCTCTTTAGCTTCGGCGTCGCCTTCCCAACCCATTGTCATTCTTTCCCCAACCAGTCACAGTTGTTTGCTCATGTGTTTTATGACACACATCATTCCTGTTTAGCCCTCGTTTTTCCCTCACATCTCCCATAAAATATTTTCCTGTCATTAAAATTGCCTCTCTCTCTCTCTTCTTTTCCCCCCTTATCTCCTGCAGATATGAGAAGCTTATCAGTGGGAAGTACATGGGTGAACTGGTGAGGCTTGTTATGATGAAGCTTGTAAATGAAGACCTGCTATTTAATGGTGAAGCCTCAGAGCTGCTGAAGACACGTGGAAGCTTTGAGACACGCTATGTCTCACAGGTGGAGAGGTGAGTATCCTAACCTGGGCTGAGTAAACATTTTTTTAAAAAGGAATGCTGCTAATTAAAAATATGACAAAAGATCCTATTTGTTATGCCTGAAAGCATTACATCTGCATATGAACAGATGGAAGAAAGTAACAGATCATGACTTGAGTTTATCAATGGAATATTTCATTAGGACAAAATTAAATAGTCTATGTGATGAAAACATGTGGCGTTTATTAAATTTTATATATTTAGTGGAACCAGAAATGAAAGAAAATATATTTTCAACACACTACATTTTCTGCATTGTGCCTCTAGAAGCTGAATTTGTAAATGTTTCTCTCTCTCTTTTTTTTTTACAGTGACACTGGGGATAGAAAACAAATCTACAACATCCTGTCCTCGCTGGGAGTTCTGCCCTCAGAGCTTGACTGTGACATTGTGCGTCTGGTCTGCGAGAGTGTTTCCACTCGCTCTGCTCACATGTGCGCCGCAGGGCTTGCTGGTGTCATCAACCTGATGCGGGAGAGACGCAGCGAGGAAGCCATGAAGATCACAGTGGGCATCGATGGATCTGTCTACAAGTTGCACCCATGGTAAGGAATGCTCTTAGACTTTTGAATAGTGTATACTTTAATTAAACCTTTTAAATATATAAGCAAATTTGATCGTATGAGATTAGATGTACCTCCTCTAAAGAAAAAGTCAATTCTCCAAAAAAAGAAGAAAGAAACAGTCGAATGTGAACAGGAGAAGCAGAAAGTAGAAGATTCAAAACACATTTATGTATAGGGATTTTGTGTCTTAAACTTAAAAATTATTAGATAGCTGTTCTAAAGACACAAGAGGAAGTGAGAGAAATTAGGATGAGAAGATTGTTCTGACCAATTGTTTGTATGTCTCAGTTTCCGTGACAGGTTCCACAAAGTCGTCAGGGACCTAACACCTCACTCTGATATCACCTTCATCCAGTCAGAGGAGGGGAGCGGTCGTGGAGCCGCTCTTATCTCAGCAGTGGCCTGTAAAATGGCTACAAATCTGTTCGCGGATTAAGGGCAATTATGCACTGATCAGTCTCCTGAATGCGCAGTGATGAGGAAAGCTTGAACTCTGATGGGAGGATATTTATGAAATCCACTGATGTGCCCTTACTACAGGCTGTTTGTAAGAAAACTGATTGGTTATTGTTGTAGGGTGTAAAGACAAGAATGGATCAACCTCTTATTAGAGGCTGCACTTGGTAGTATCCCACCAGGCTTTAGCAAATCCATAATTTCTGAACTTTCTGAACGTTGATTGTTGCACATAAGACAGACGTTAGTGTGAGAGCTGTTTAAGATTCATACTTCTGTGTCACCTCCGTCTGGTTGTGTGGATGGGAGTATTTCATGAAGGACTTATGTAGTATTGATGACAGTGTATTATAATGCCAGTTTTGTAAATACGGCTGTAAATTATAACTAAATCAAGTTTATTAGTTTGTTGTGTAATTCCTGTTTGTGAGCAATTAAATATATCTTTGGTATTGTATATTTAAATGTTATGTTTACAAATTTTGTTACTGTGTTACCTAGTATAGTGTTGTTCTTTAAATGTGCTTTGGATGTGAATAAACCTAACTGTAAATAAAAGTACTTAATAAACTATAATACTTCAAATGAATCTGTTTTTATTTTCAACACCAAATATCAATTATTTTTGATAGCACAGCAAAAAAAAATATTTTTTTCTTCTTCTCTGACATTCCAACCTTCAAGGACTAAACAACATCAGTGTAATGTATCAAAACTGAAGGTAGTCGTCCTGATGTCATATTAATGAAATAAGAACTACCAAACATCAATATAATATCCTTCCTGTAAATGTAGCATGTATTGTAACAGATTGACAGGTCTGCTCAAATGTTCTAAGGAATATAATGAATACACTATATGAAGAAAAGATATCCATATCGTGGAAGATATCGGGCCACAATTAACATTTTTTCAGTTCCATTGACACAGATGTATAAAATCAAGCACCTAGCCACAGAGTCTGCCTTTAAAAACATATGTGAAAGAATGGGTTGTTTTAAAGAGCACACTGAGTTTGAGCACGGCACTGTAATAGGATACTACAGTTGCAATAGATTACTTTGTAAAATTTCTTCACTCCTGGATATTCCTTCCTAGATATACAAACCTCCTATGGCATTTACATCAGCAGGAAAACTGTGCACCAGAAGCTTCTTGGCATGTGTATTGCCCAAAACATTTGTCCGTATATTCATATGTATTATTAAATACATCAGTGTTAATTACACAAAGAGAAAGAAGAGACAGATACCTAATGTACCTGTAAGTATTTTAACTTGAAAATATACTGTTTTTTTTAACAATTACATTATTATTATTATTATTATTATTATTATTATTATTATTATTATTATTAATATTAATAATAGTTATTTTTATTTAAACATCATTACCAAAAGAAAAAGAAAATAAAACAGAAAACTTCTTAGAAAACCTTTGCATTGCAGTATAATCCAATATTATTCTCTGTAAAAACCTCCATCATAAGTTAAACTTCAGAGCTTGATTTAATCCGTGAATTGTAAGAATTTATTTAAATGACTGTCAAATGTCCAAAGTCACTTTGCTGGTCTCCTTTCCTGTCGTCTCTGTTCTTATCTGTTTTTTCCAGCCCAGAGGAATCCTGTGTGCTTCACACTTATCACGTCCATTCAGCCACACACTGAAACAGCTTTAACCATGTAAGGGTCTCAGCTATCCATGGCAGTCTATTATAGGAGGGTAGGAGATAAGATAACACAGGCTATACATAAAACCCACCTAGCATCATCGCCTGGCTGGGAGCCCACCTTCATTCATTCAGACATGGTAAGGGAGTCACTGTTTTTAGTCTTTATGGTGATTTTAGAAGTCTTTCGCAAAATTGTCAATGCTGTGCATTTAAAAACATTCTTTACGTACTGTGCCCTCTATAGGATTATGTATAAGAGTAACTGTTTCTTTGTCTCAGGCAAGCAAGAAAGCTTCCAACAAGAGACAGAGGGGAGGACAGAAATCCTCCTCAAATGTCTTTTCCATGTTTGAGCAGTCTCAGATACAGGAGTTCAAGGAGGTAAAGTACCAGCTAATGACACCACTTCCTTTAAATTCCTGGGGAAATGATCTTGGAAAAGATGTATTATTGCAAACTTATTTTTGAGTATTTCCTAAAAGTATTGACAGTAAGTCTCTAAACTTGTTATTCGATAAAAGTTAACAAACATTTTTTAATTATAAAACGCTTTCAAAATTGAGAAATGGTTCTGTGTCACACTTCATTTGAAATATTCTTTGTTCTTCATCCTACAGGCGTTTGGTTGCATTGACCAAGACAGAGACGGTGTTATCAAAAAACAGGACCTGAAGGAAACTTATGCACAACTGGGTAATTTCTGTACTTCCAACATTTGATCTTTTCAATATTTCAAAGGTGGGAAAATAGGTATAAACTGATAGCAAATAAACTACAATAAGTGAAAGCTGTAATGACGTTGACCTGCTACTGTTACTGCATTTAGTAAATGTACATTGGCATGTCTCTGTGTGTTTTTGTGTACCAGGGAAGCTAAATGTCAAAGAGGAGGAGTTGGATGAAATGTTGAATGAAGGGAAGGGTCCCATCAACTTTACTGTATTTCTGACACTTTTTGGGGAGAAACTTAGTGGTGAGAGATTTACAGATGTCCAAAGAGATCTTTGAAATTCCTGTGAGGTGCTTTCAGGTGATGGATGATGATATTTGATCTTCCTCCAGGTACTGATCCTGAAGACACCATACTAGCAGCCTTCAAACCTTTTGATCCTAATGGGACGGGCTTTGTTAATAAGGATGAGTAAGAAATCTTATCAATTAGCTTTCACGTTGTTCCGTGTGGCCCATAGCAGTCTTCAACTGCAGTCCTCGAGAGCTACTCTCCTGCAGCTTTTAGATGCATGTGGAATTACCTCTTTAGTATGCTATCAGGTGTGGCAAAGCCCTGGTAACAAGCCATTTATTTGATTCATGTGTGTTGGAGCAAGGATGCACGTAAAAGCTGTAGGATAGTACCTCTCAAAGACTGGAGTTGGAGACCACTGCATTAAAGTATCTTATTTTTCCTCTCCTTTAACATTTATTTATTTTTATTTAGATTTAGACGACTACTGATGAATCAGGCTGATAAATTCACAGCAGAGGAGGTTTGTGTTTTCAGCTTTAATGTTTTGTTTTTGACAGATTCTCGTGTAATTTATAAGATATTTTCAGTGGACAAACTTTCTCTTTATAAACCTACAGGTGGATCAGGCCTTCGCTCTCGCTCCCATAGATCCAACTGGAAACATTGACTACAAGTCTCTCTGCTACATCATCACACATGGAGATGAGAAGGAAGAATCATGAACGGCACAGTTGTGTGAAGGCATGTCGTAAAGTCCAACTAAACCCAGCTTACCTAATATAAAAATGCAAATGACTGCTATTAAAATTATATCTGAAAGTATTACACTCTCTCCACCTCATACCTTTGTAAAACAATTGGAAATTAAGAATTTTCTCATTTGTAAGTTACTAATAACGACCAATAAAGTTTTGGCCTCCTCAATACTCTCCTATTGCTTACAAATGCTCATGTTGTTAGGGAAAACTATATATTGAGTAAGACCAAAAATGCTGTAATTCCAAAAGAAATACATCTCCTGCATATGGAAACGGTCAGTACCAGATATATTATTTTTCCAACGAAATAATTTTAATGCTGGAAAATTTAGTTGAATAAAAAACATACAAGTAATCAAGATGTCTGTGAAGGTTCTCAGTCATCCAGGTCATCGTAGTCTAAGGAGCTTGGAAAGAAAAGCGTCTGGACTTCTTTAAGTTGCTTGAAGACGTTTCACCTCTCATCCGAGAAGCTTCTTCAGTTCTAAGGTCAAATGGTGGAGAGTCCCAGATTTAAACCCAGTGGGAGTATCACCCCAAAGAGGGACAAAGTAATTCCCAAGTTTAAAACCTAAGTTTGTCACAAATGCAGGATACTGCAGGCACAATGGTAAACCAAAAGCAAGCCTTTAAATATTAAAATAACTTCCCATAAAATAAATAAATTCTTTAGACAAGAATACAAAAAAGCAAAAAAAAAAAAAAAAAAAAAGGAAAAAGCTGGGCTGCAAGAGAGGGGAATATGTGATATATTTTGGCACAGGACAGAGGGAGGATTGAGCACACACGGAGGGCTGATCAGGGATTAAACAGAAAATTATTGATATATGAATGATCAACAACAGGTGAAAACAATCAGGGAATCGGGTAAGGACAAACAGCAAGCAAAGTTAACTTTGAAAGTGAAACAGAAAAGAGACAGACATGAAAACTAACACCAGACAAGTGAACACTGGTAAATGGACTGGTTCTCATATCGTGCTTTTCTACCTGCGCACTCAAAGTGCTTTATACAAATTGCCTCATTCTCCAATTTACACAAGCAGATTTTTTAATGCTTCTCACATAAGTGCTTTCTATCTAACATTGAGACACATTCACACACATTCATACTGCATCGGAGAGAAACTTGGGGTCAGTATCTTGTCCAAAGATATTTATCATGCAGACTGGAACAGCCGGAGATCAAACCCCCAACCTTCCCAATCACTTGATGACCTCTACTTCCTGAGCTAAACATGGAAACGAGACATGTTGGTTACGGCATATAGTTGTAAAAAGGGTTTCTGGCTACGTTGGAAGTTACCATATAGATTTCTCTCGCGCTAGCTTGCATGGTCTGGCTCTATGCAGTGAACACAATTATCATGGCCCTCCTCCATAGGCACCTTTATTCCACAACTTTAAACAGCTGTGCCCCCCTGGATTAGCCCTAATCCATCAGTGAAATGTGCCGATTATGACTGAGGGACATGCACTTGGGGCACAAGTCACACCTTATATTCTTAATGTCACACAGGTTTGCCTAAAAAGCTTTGGATGTTACGCTGTTTCTTGTCTATAACAGGTGGAAATGAACGGCAACTAAGCTCTCCCACAGTGCAGGGTTTTCCCAGTCCCCTAGCTCTGGAAGTCAGACAAAAATTATCCACACCACGCTTTCCCCCTGTCTTTACTCTCTGGCAAGTCTGACATAACTTCCAACAAGGTCAAATTTTGCGTTGGAAAATAAAATTTCAGTTCCATTTTATTTATATAGTGCCAAGTTTTGCACCGGCCTGTGTAGGAGAGACAAAAGCAATCCCTGAGAGGGGTATGGGGACCAGCTCTCTTCTGGCAAGGTAAGGTGACACACACGTATGCTAGACTATCTGGAAATCAGGGATTTGAAGAAGCCACGCATGCATAGTGTTTATATAGCTACAATGGCAGGTAGGGCGTGGCCACCACAGGTGATGTGTCTTAGAGTATCCATGTCATCAGTCCTCATACATATGGAATATGTGTAGGGTTTCCGGAGTGTCCACACAATAGAGAACAAAACAGTATCATTGTAATGAATCCACTTTTGACCAATAATGCAAGGCAAAACTGGATGTGGTTTTGATTTCAGGTGTGTTCAGTCCCATTACCACAGGTGTATGAAATCAAACAACTCTCGGCTTTTACAAACATTTGT